ATCGTGGGAATTGCCTTATTAGGAAGGTTAATGGTGTTTATTCAATGGAAGTTTATCGTAATTTCTGTAACTTACTGTAACTTGCTTCCTGTGTATATTTTCATACACTTTTTATCACTAAGTGTATTTTATTGTTAAATACCTGTCTACAGGGCCCCACCCCCCTGTGTACAGGTCTATATTGGGGCTGTACAGGTGCTCCTTAGTGCCCATTTCGTTACTTGATACTATATATGGAATGGACTCTCATAGGGTATATAAGAACAGCTCGTTTGTACTTAGTATCTTAGGTTATCCTGGAAACTACCAGTTACAACAATTCTCTGGATGACCTATCCAAAGTCCCCAACTCTCTTGTCTGGTGTTACTGTGATTCACATCACATTACCACTACATTTGAAGTCATGAAAACAAAGTGCCCAAAGTGGGAATTGAACACAGGACCTTCCAGTGAATCCCAAGATGGTCTCACCACTGTGCTATCTGGCCATGGTTTACCTAATGAGGACTTTACATATATTGACATAGGCTATCCAACCAACTCTTTTTAGGCTTACACTACTTTGCCTTGGTTGATTATGGATTTCTAGTATGCATAACACCATGTACACCTCATCAGGGTGTCAAGCATTCAATCCCAACACTTGTCAGCATCCTTAATACCAGCAGAGGCTTCAGTGTGTTAATAGGGGCCCATAGAATCATACAACCAGCTTTTGACATTCATGATGACAATGCGGTTGCAGGAGCTAAAAACTCAGAAAGGGAAAGGGGTTCTAACCTGAGGGAACAAGAGTGTACTTGATGTTGTTACTGGGTACCTCGGGTGGACCTGCAGGTGAGGTGGAGGATTGCAATGGTATCTGGTGAAAGGGTGCAAGGAGTGCAAGAGTGCAATGGAGGCTTGCTCAATGTCTAAATGTGATGAGCAAGTTGGGATGATGGTGTATATAATGTATACACTAGCAAGTTAGCAGCACAGACAATGGTTGCGATCATGCAGTGTCGAGTCTAGATAGATAGATACGCAGCTCATGTAGTTCTCTGTGGCTCCAAAAAGCATGCCTCCGAAAAAGAGCTTTGTTATCATAAGGCCTAGCATCGGTGGAACTCATGTGAATTAAGGGACAGATTATCTGGAATATTGTGCACAAAGAGATTTATATCAAGGAAGTAGATACAGAAGGAAATCATGCATCCGATTTCTTTTTTTTCTTTGGTGAATCACCGTTCGTTTGCGTGCTGTTGGAAGCAGCAGCAGCCTTCTCGGCCTTCCGTGCCTTTTTCCTAGCTTTTCTTTCTTCTTCCGTCTCCGGCTAGAAATATTTCAGAACATGGCATATGTAGAGAGACAAGGATCCAAACCTTGGTCATCGTATCATCTTTAGTTTCACTGTTGATGTTGCTCTCTCTCCGCTTCCTCTTCTTCTCCTTTGTTTCCTCCTCCTCACCATCGACATCCATTGCGTCAGCTGATTCATGCGCCTTCTCCTTTGCAGCTTTCTTCTTCGCCTTCCGTTCCTCTTTTGCCCTCTTTTTTTCCTCCTTCACATCTAAGACAACCTTGATGGCCGTCTCCATGGGAGACTCACGTTGTGTTGGTACCATATCAGCTTGTGTGTTGTACAATTTTGTTTCGCCTGACATTTGGAACTTCTGCTGCTTCTGGCCATTATCCCCAAACCTACGAATACCTGAGTGATCATCTTGATATTCCAATGCACGTAACCGAGACTCAAGTTTGGCGCGGTGGGCAATACCTATTGAGGGAGCGTTGGGCTCCGATTTTTCGTCAGAATCAGCCAGGGCATCGACACGGGTCGATAAAGCAGCTTTCGCCGCAACCATACGGGCCATCTGGGACCAGGGATCAGCAACGGCGAAGAAACGTGATGTCAGAGTCTAACTCACTTTACCCTTCAGCTTGGGAGGCGCTTGACCAATCAGCGAAGCCTATTCGAGATGACTTAGAGCCAATGAATCAGCAAGAGCACGAAGGCTTACATGGTATATGAGACCATATTTAGGCGTGTCGTGCTTGGTTTTCAGGGCACGGAAGAGTGCTTTCTCTGCACCCAATATCTGTACTGTACTTGCAGAATGTTTAGCCAAGTTGATTAAACTTCCGGCATGGCTGATTAATCGTGCGCCAACGAGCTCGCCAACAAGCGCGGTAAGGTTAGGCGCAATCGCAGTCATACGATTACGGAGGTATTCAGAAAGTTGCGTTCGATATGCAGCTATTGATATAACTTGCTCGCACAGTGAATGGATGTGTTCCATGTCGGAATCGGAAATTTCAGTGCCCATTGATATTTCCGCGGCAGCTTTAAGAACGGCTTCGAGATCTTCGGGAAGAATAGAAGCGAAGGTTGTCGAAGACGCATTCGTACGGAAACCTAGGGTGACCGTCAACCAGAGAACGAGAGACACACCCGATTACGAACCCATTGCGCGGACAACTTTAGCATAAGCAATGTTGTCCACAATAATTTTAGCCATTTCAGGGAAATGCCATCCATACCATTCCTTCGTTAAAGCGTCAAAGTAGTAGAGGACGGAAGCCTCGAGGCCATGCTTACTTTGACTCTCATTGCATAGATGTTGATTTCCTTGTCAAGGTCATCCAGTAGAGCGATTGCCTGCACCACCATAGTGTCGACCTTGTCTGGAGAGAATTTGATTTTAAACCTGCATGTTCGTCTGAGCAAGCGGAAAATAAGATACGATATCAGATCGTCCTACCGGGATAGAGAATGTCCAAGACCAAGGCTCATAGTGGCGAGATCCTTGGGGTCTAGCCCATCTAAAAGGGCAGCAAGTTGGCTCCTGATACCTCTCCATATTTCCTCATACTCAGAGTCAGACGCGGCGACTTTGATACTGAGCTTTTTCGATATGGATGTTGCTGGAACGGGAAAAATTATGATCATAGGGAGATTTGATTACCACCACTTGGGACGTACCAAGGTGTTTATCCACAACCAAGACGGAATCCTTTCCTTTACCCTTCCCTAGGACCTCATCCGTCAAGAATTTTTTGAGTCCAGGTCCGAGCTTTCCTTCCTGGAGCGCAGTCATGTCTTCTACAGCCGTAGCTGTTGAGGTAAACCGGTGCAAAGCCTTCAGTTTCAATCTAAAGCTCATCCTCATCAAACAGATACTCAGGCTCTCGAAATTGGATAGTTACAGTTTATTGGCAGATTCTGGACTCTCAAATTCCTTCCGGACTTGACTTTCCTCCATTTTCGTCACAGAGTCTGACATCTTGAAGAGGCAGTAGCCCATGGCCGTCTCGTAGAGGACCAACATAACGAATATGGCGGAGCAAAAAAGAACGGAACGACCGACCGCGTTTACAGTTTAGGTGAAAGAGTTGTCGACAAAAAAAATCATGAAATTCTCACGGCCCAGGCGCTTTCCCATAATACTAACATCCTCCAGACATCCTCTTATCTACTAACTTCAAGCCTTCTTCAATCATGTTGCTATCAACGTCGGTAAAGGTTGCCAGCCTATTAATCCTACCTATGCTTGTAAATGGGAACAATCCACAAATGTTTCTTACAACTGATTCTCATGGACTCCGTCCCGAAATCAACCCTTCAACCTCAGGCTCTAGTGAGATCAATTTGCAGAGGCTCGATATTTCTGCCCTCAATCTAGATTCCTATGCGATCCTACAGCATGTTCAGTTTCCGAACCATCGAATTCGTATCAAGAAGACTGTGTTTTGTGACCCTACCGTTAAGTGAGCCCTTGGACAATTTGTATCGTGCCAAACTTCTGGAACATTTCTCATGCCCAGTGTCTACACTGGATACTTAGACGTTGACGCGGGTGCCAAGCACCTTTTCTTCTATTTTTTCGAAAGCAGAGGTGATCCTGCGAGAGGTGAATGTTTATCTTCGTCTATTTGGCGGAATCCTTCACACATTTACGTTAGACGATGTTATGATGTGGATCAATGGCGGTGAGTATGATTCGTCTCCTGTCTGTCCTAAACATATCATATCTCATGTGCAATTGGAAGGTCCTGGCTGCTCATCCTCGACGGGACTCTTAATGGAACTGGGTCAGTAGTAGATGCAAATTTTCGACGCTGATTGCTGCTGCTGATGTCTATCTACATAGGACCTTGCAGTATTGACATGGGATCGACATCGAGTAACGGCACCCTTTGGAATCCTTACTCCTGGAACCAGGTGGCCAATATTTTCTTCTTGGATCAACCGTTAGCCAATCACAGCTCATCGCTGAGAATCAATTGAATTTGACTAACTTGCAGTGTCGGAGTCGGTTTCTCATACGCTGACTACGGGGAAACCATACAAACCACCGAAGAGGCCGCAAAAAACGTCCACGCTTTCATCACTATTTTTTTCGAAACTTTCACCCAGTTCGGTGGAAGACCATTACATCTCTCAGGAGAATCGTATGGTGTTAGTTGCCGTTTCTATCTCATGGCGGACTCAGAAGTTAATAGTTAATCAGGGAAGATATCTTCCTGTCTTTGCTAGTGAAATATATGATCAGAACATCATTGCAAGACAAGAAGGGAGGACAGAGTTGAATTTACAGAGTGTCATTATTGGCAATGGCAACACCGGTATCTCAACGTAGGTGATTCCCTGTGTAAAGGGGAAAAACTTGCTGATCCTTACTGCAGCTTGTATCGTGGCCGATACGAGATAGAATGTGGTACAGCGGCTTTGGAAACACCAGTACAATCCATAAGCAAATGCGTTAGAATGAAGACGGCAGTCCGTCATTTTTGCGTTGTAAATTTTAGTACTCTTACCGGTGCTTCACCTAGCTTCCTCGATGCCAGCAGCGCATGCGAAATAGCTGCCTGGATCAGTTTGACCTGATTGACTGTCGTGCAGCAATCAATTTTTGTGATAGTGAGATATGCGCAGGAATGTGGGCCAGTGGTAAGCATGCCACATAATCTTCACATTTTTCCTCATAGTGCCCGAACTGACTCCGATCAGGTCGCAACGTGTATGATATCTCTAAAGTGTGTTGATAATCTCTCTCCTCCTCCTAGCTGATACATACATTATGCCACATTTTGACGCTGATGGATAGATGTGCGTTGGGGACAGCTTATGCTACGATGAAACTACTGCTATCAAAGAGTACCTGGATATGCCCGAAACTCGGGAATCATTAGGTGTTGAAACGACTAATAATTTCACCTCTTGTTCTCCCGATGTAGGTGCTGATTTCGGGATACATATGGATAAATATAACACCCCGACCCAATTTCACGTGGCCGGGCTCTTGGACAGAGGTGTTCGTATCCTGATCTATGCTGGAACGTATGATTGGCAGTGTAATTGGATATCCAACAAGATGTGGGTTGATGCATTGGAGTGGAGTGGGTCCGATGAGTATAGCAGAACGCAATGGAGAGATTGGGCTGTTCAAGGGCGGGTAGCAGGAGAAGTGAAGGCTACCCCCTTGCTGACGTTCGCCACTGTAAG